GTGTTGCAACGCCGCGGGAGGGAGAAGTTGTGAGTGAGAGTGTGTGTGTGTGTGATGCGTTTCCCTCTTGTGCTCGCCTAGAGCAGCCGCCACCCATGTCTTTCCCATCGTGACTCGCCCCACTTGTTCACCTTCCTGCAATTTCGGGCGGAATTCGCGCCAAGAGCGACACACCTTGGCTTTCTTTGTAATAGCGTCACTCGGCCGTTGGAAGACAAAGTGTGCGGGTGGCCAATGCCGTGCCGCTTTCGCAGGGCCAACGGCTTCGCCGCTACTTCTGCAAGGTTTCTGTGCTTTTGCCTGTCTCGCCGCGGTCACCGTCTACCCTTCACCCCCCTCGCCGCCAAGTTAGGGGGGAAGCAGCTCAGGGGGGATGGACATCCAGCTGGAACCGGCGGCACATCGCAGACGGATCTGCGCTATGCCCTCGATCACAAGACCGCTCGCTTCTGGGCGGGGCAGGCTATCAGGCCGCTGTCGCCGATCAGTGGGTGAATGGGGGCCGATGCGTTCCCCCTGAGCCTGCCCCCTCCCCCACCTAACGTTGCCCCTGATGTCTCTCCCCCTGCTCTCGTTCCGACTCGTCCCCGTGTCGTGTCGCAGTGCGCTGTGCAGTGCAGTTGCCGCCCTTGGGACCTCTGCCTTGGCGCCCGCGCAGACGCAAGCCGATGCGCCGCCAGCTGCGTGCCGCCCTTTCCTGACGTGCCTTGCGCTGCATCGGCCTCGAAATGCCGAAATCCTGCCAGAGATCTTCTGACCCGGGTCAGTCAGGCCTTGCAGGATCCTGCGCGATCTTGCAAGATCCTGCAGGATCCTGCACCCAAGCCCGGGTCAATGCGACCCTGTCCCTGCAGGATCCCGCAAGATCCGGCGCTCTGGCTGACCCCCGTCTGCATGGACCCCGCCCCTTGAGCCCCGACCCTGTTGAACAGGATCGGAAAGGCCAACCAACGTTGTTGAAACGGGGATGCAGCGCACTTGGGGCTATTGTAGACAACATCGCCATTTCCAGCATTGGCACCGCACCCCTTTATACTTGTGGATGCCACGACAATGGACACCCTGACAGTCCCATCGTTGAATTTAACATGTGTTTGAAATGTCGGACAAAAGTTCGAACCATCTGTTGAACATGTTTTAGACACCTGGAACTTATTTGGCAGCATGCTTCCTCTCCATTGGTCGTCCTCCACAACTTTATAACATAGAGTCTGTTCTGGCTCGAAGAACATGTCGTGGCAGGCCCGCAGGAATGTCGGGTCGGTCGGCCCCTGCTCAGAGACGGGGGTCGCCCGCCCCGTGTCGGCCACGCCCCGCGTCGGCGGCTTCTCAGAGAACGCGCGGGCCTCACATCTACAGGCAAGGCGCGCGCCTTCTAAGAAGCAGCCTCGTTCCAGAAATTGGGCGCCCGAGTTATCCGGGGTAACTCGGATCCGGGGTAACTCGGGTTTGGGTTCCCGAAACAGGAACCCGAGTTATCCCTGACCCGAGTTACCCCTGATGATTCGGGGCTCTGGACGCCCGAACTATCCGGGGTAACTCGGGTCCGGGGTAACTCGGGTTCGGATTCCCGAAAAGCGAACCCGAGTTACCCCTGACCCGAGTTACCCCTGATGATTCGGGGCTCTGATCTACAGGCAAGGCGCGCGCCTTCTAAGAAGCAGCCTCGTTCCAGAAAGCCCTCCCGGCCTCTCGTCGGGCGAAAGGGGGAGATAGCAAAGGGGGGGTTTGAGAATCAGCTCGCGTAGCTGATTTTCCCGGCGCCTCCTGGCGCCGGAGGCGGCTATGTATCGAGGAATGGGCCCCTCGGTGGGGCTGAAACCAGCTGCATGCAGCAAATTTCCTAACCCCCCCTTTCCCAATCCCCCCCTTTCGCCCGACCCGATACAGGCAAGGCGCCGCGCTTCTAAGAAGCAGCCTCGTTCCAGAAAGCCCTCCCGGCCGGAGGACGAGGAGGAGTAGGAGGGAGGAGCAGGAGGAGGCAGGAGGAGGAGGAGGAGGAGGACGAGGAGGAGGAGGAGGAGGAGGAGGAGGAGGAGGAGGAGGAGGGGTGCTGATGGCCTGGTGCCTTACGTGCGACGTGTCCGTCCCCTGCCGGCCGCCCCCTCGTCGGCAGCAGCCCCCTGCCTCCCCCGCTCTGCCTGCCCGGTCGGCGCGCGCCCCGCCCCCCCCCCGCTCTGTGCACGGAGGCGCCCCCTCTCCGCGGCCCCCCTCTTGCCAGCCTCGAACGTATCCTCCTCCTCCTCCTCCTCCTCCTCCTCCTCCTCCTCCTCCTCCTCCTCCTCCTCCTCCTCCTGGTCAAAAATGGTCAACAAATGGTCAACAAATAGTTCCCGTTTTATTGTTGGACCATTTTTGAAGATCCCTCCTGTGGAGGGACAAGCCCGCCTTCGCGGCCAGCCTCCGGGGCTGGGAGCAGAGCGCCGGGCGCCCTCGCGGCGGCCCCCCGTGGCCGAGAGAAGCCCCCCTCTCCCGAGGGGGTGGCCCTCCCGAGCCCCGTCTGTTTGCCAGCCTCGAACGTATTCCTATCCCTAAGATTGACACGCCAGAAGGCGATGACGATCTCAGGGATCCGCCCTCAAAAAAGAAGGGGATCCCTAAGATCGGCGTCGTGATGGGGAGATGCGCAGCATAGGGATAGGGATTATGCTCCAGGCTGGTAATCTGCTGGCTTTTTTTGTCACCCCCGCTCTGCGGGGCTTTTTCGCCCCCGCACTCTCGACCTCTTGCTGCCTTGCTCGCGCGCTGCACGGCACGCGTGTGGGACACCGCAGCCTATTGGCCCAGAAGAGGACCTGCAGAGTCCGAGACGCGCCGCCGGTTCAAAGTGGTTGCGATCGGCAATACATCAAGTCTTAAGCAGGGACGGACCGTCCCGGCATTCCTATAGTCATACCACGACATGTTCTTAGAACCCGAACATGTTCTAATAACAAAAGCAATGTTCTTAGAACATAAGCCCGATGTGATAAAACGAGACAGACTCCGCCAGAAATGTTCTAAGAACATTTCCTGGAAACCACAAACGGTTCTTTCGGGGATGGACAGACCCCCCTTTAGTAAAACGTGGTTTAGTGAAAACGACCTGAGGCCCAAACCTGGCGGGCGCAAGCCTGGAAAATAACGGCCACGGCGCTCTCGAGAACCGAAAACGGACAATTCACTAATCGACGTGTCACCGTTGGGGGTTCTGTCCACCCCCGATTCTTAGAACATTGTTTGGTAGGGCTATAGGCGAGCCAGGACGCTCCGCCACTGCTTGCAAGGCCCGAGGGGTGGCCCTCCCGAGCCTCGTCTGCCGCCCGGAGCCTCGGCTGAAAGTGGTTGCGATCGGTAACACACCAAGTAGGGGGCCACGTGCGAACCCTACCCCTGCCCCCCACGACTTCTGAGGGGGAGGGTGGGGTAGGTGAAGGGGCCCTGGGACACACAAATAAATAGACACAAATAAAAGGATCCCCCATATTTTCCCATGTTTTCTGGGTTTTTGTCTTCCCCCCAATTCCCACATTTTCCCATATTGTCCTGGGAGTCGACGATTAATTGTGTCTGTGTGTTTTTTCCCTCCTGGGTAGGGCTCGCACGTGGCCCCCTCCTCCAGTGTCTGTGTGTTTTTTTCTCTCCTGTGTCTGTGTGTTTTTTCCCTCCTCCTCCTCCTCCTCAATCCTCCTCCTCCTTCTCCTCCTCCTCCTCCTCCCTCCTCCCCCTCCTCCTCCTCCTCCTCCGCCTCCTCCTCCCCCTCCCCCTCCTCCCTCCTCCTCCTCCTCCTCCTCCTCCTCCTCCTCTCCTCCTCCTCCTCCTCCTCCTCCTCGCCCACGGCGCGCCCCGCTCGTTCCGACTCTGAGCCTGCGAAACATCACTCCGTGCTGCCTCCCACGCGCCGTGGGGGCGTGGGCCCTGCCCTGCCGGCGGGCTCCTCTGCCCGGAGCCTCGTCGCCGCAGCCCGGCGGAGGAGGAGGGGGAGGAGGACGAAGAGGAGGAGGGAGGAGGAGGAGGAGGAGGAGGAGGAGCAGGAGGAGGAGGAGGAGAGAGGAGAGAGGAGGAGGAGGAGGAGGAGGAGGAGGAGCAGGAGCAGGAGGAGGAGGAGGAGGAGGAGCAGGAGGAGGGGGAGGAGGAGCCTCGGTCCGCCCTCCTCCCGGAGAGGCCCGTCCTCCCAGAGCGGCCCTGTAGGGTCCTGCCCACGGCGCGCCCCGCTCGCGGCGGCCGGGCCTCGCGGCGGCGCGTGTGCATGTGCGTGTGCGTGCGGCGTGCGAGCGAGCGTGCGAGCGTGCGTGCGTGCGCGTGCGTGCGTGCGTGCGTGCGTGTGTGCGCGTGCGTGCATGCGTGCGTGCGTGTGCGTCATATTGGCGCATCTGGCGTATAGCGTATTCCGCACAGACGTGCACCATGCGAGTCTTTAGAGCAAGTCGCCTGCAAGATTGCTCGCAGAAAGAAAAGCATCCCAAACTTTGAATACATAGTCAGGGACTTCCAGGGTAGATCTATGATCTAAGTCTCAGCAGTGCGGGCATGGTCATCCAGGGGCAAGGTACATGTGACGGAGGAGCGGGAGGCAGAACCCGATAACCAGGAGCAGGGGAAGGGTCAGCATCATCTGGTGAGCGAGAAAGCGCCGCGTGAAAACCTGGAGGCACCATTGTGGGCGCCTGCCGCACAGCCCCGCATCCACGATTGAGGGGCGTGTTGTCCACCACCACCACCATCAGTTGGAGAGGGGGGTCCTCCTCCTCCTCCTCCTCCTCCTCCTCCTCCTCCTCCTCCTCCTCCTCCTCCTCCTCCTCCTCTTCGTCCTCCTCCTCCTCCTCCTCGCCCTCCTCCTCCTCCTTCCCCCCTCCAACTTATGGTGGTGGTGGTGTTGGAAAACAAGCTCATCAACGATACTTGCAGGCACAATCGCTCGCCCGCCCTGAAGAGACGGAATGCTGGCCGTGCTACACCGCGCCGCACACTTCAATCGCTCTGCCTTCCTGTCACGCAGGCAGGCGCACGCGGTCCACACCTCAAGGTATCTCGTAGCCTGGCACCCAGCTCCAGTAGCCCCCGTAGCCCCACGCAGGCATGCCGGTCGGATCGCTTTCGGCATCCAGGGCCGCAGTGGCGTCCCCTGCTTCTGCGGCCCATCCGCTCTGGTCGGCCTGCCCTCGCCACGAGCCTGACTTGCCCCTGCTGCCCTTGCTCCTGCTCTTGCCCTTCTGCCAGCTCTTGCCCTGCAGCATCAGGACAGGCGTGCCCTGCGCGGCCTGCTTCTCCTGCTCGCCTCCAGGCGCGCCCTGGAGTAAGTTCCCCTCTTCACCTTGCATCGGGTCCGTGCCGAAATCTGTTGGCGTCCAGAACCCTGCGTGGTTGCCCTTGTCCCCTTTCGGGCCCTTTCCTTTGTGCCCCTTGCCCTTCTCCTTGCCCTTCCCCTTGTGGAATCCCTTGATGCCCTCCGGCATGAAATGGCAGTCGAACTTCTCCCCCTCCTTGGCGGGAAGCCAGACACCGCACACCACCACCGCGAGCCCTGGCGGCCTGTCACCACCGCTCGTTCTGGGGCACGGACTGACCCGACGTCGCGATCGTTTCACAGCGCGGCTCCCCAGAAGTCTGGATCCCTTCCCTGGGACCGGCTCTTCATCCTGAGCTGTTTTTCGCCTGTCCCAGGGTCGAAATAAGGGCCCCTGGAAGTCGAAAGCTCACAAAAACAATCCGTCGTGACGATTCTCGGGGATGGACAGACCTCCCTTTAGTAAAACGTGGTTTAGTGAAAACGACCTGAGGCCCAAACCTGGCGGGCGCAAGCCTGGAAAGTAACGGCCACGGCGCCCTCTCGAGAACCGAAAACGGACAATTCACTAATCGACGTGTCACTGTTGGGGGTTCTGTCCACCCCCGAAAATAAGGGCCCCTGGAAGTCGAGAGCTGACAAAAACACTCCGTCGTGACGTTTCGAGCGACGGGGCCACAGACATCCGACACCCGACATCCGACTCAGACCATGCGGGGTCCTCCTTAGCCCCGACCCGCTCCGCAGGGCTGGCTGCACATCCCGAGAAATGTTAGACGGTGCCGGGCCCGTCTGGTACCCCTGGATGCCGAAAACTGTGAAAACCTGCCGTCGTGATGTTTTGGGCGACGCGAGCATGTACCCCCTGCGAAATGCTTAAGAAATCATGGGTTAAGAAATTCATAGTCTCAGAACTTGGATAAAAACCCAACATTTCCATTGAAATCTTAGGATTTACATTGACACGTTAAGAATAATCGAGACTCTGGCCGAAAGCTCAAGTTTTCTTAAGCATCGCCTAGAGTGTACCCCTGGATGCCGAAAACTGTCAAAACCTGCCGTCGTGATGCTTTGGGCGACGCGAGCATGTCTGGGAGGAAGTGCGCGGGGTACAGATTCTCCTGGCCTGGTCCAGGCCAGCCTGCACACCAGTCTGAATAGGGGGATCTCCAAAGGGCCTGGCGAATGTGGGGGGGGCGTCGAAGGTGCTGCTGCACGGTTCTCTTCGGGCATCCGAGCGCCTCGAAGGTGTGGAAGGCGAAGCACTCCCCGCACAGGTCCATGGCGCCCTCCGCCCCCGCGCTCAGGAAGCGAGGGCCCATGACGGTGGAGAACCAAATAACGCGACATTGTCGACCATTGAGCCTTTGCTCACCCATTGGCCCTGGGCGGTTTTCGGCGGTCTCCTGACAATCTTCGGTGGTCTTCGGTCCTCCCGACGGTCTTCCGTGGCCTTCTGATGGGCTTCGGCAGTGTGCGGCTGGTCCTTCACGGCTCCCAGCGGTTTTTGGCGCGTATGCTGGGTGGCTGCGCTCAACGGGGGGCCCCTGATTTGACACCGAAAAAAAATCGGGTCTGGCGAAAGGGGGGGATAGCAAAAGGGGGGGTTTAAGAATCAGCTCACGTATAGCTGATTCTCCCGGCGCCTCCCCGCGCCGGGCGGCGCCCATGTCTCGAGGCATGGGCCCGGCGGCGGGGCCGAAACCAGCTGCACGCAGCAAATTTCGTACCCCCCCGTCTCCCAATCCCCCCGAAAAAAAGGCGTAGAGAAAACGTAGGCGTAGAGAAAAATCGTCTGGCCCGAAAAATCGTCTGGCCCGAAAAAAAAAATACCCCCCGAAAAATCGTCTGGCCCGAAAAAAAGGCGTAGAGAAACGGAGGCGTTCGGGGGCGCGGGGACTCTTCGGTCTTGGCCGGGGCCCTCTCCCCGCGGACTCCTGCCCGGCGCGGGGGCGGCACCGGAAGCGCACCCCCAGGGTGTGCGGGGGGGGGGGGGGGGGCTCAGCCCAGCGCCGACTCCGAACCCCGCGCGGACGTCCAACAGTCTACAAGACAGGGCAGTTTTTAACACATGGGATTTTTAAGTATCCCAGTGCGACCCTACCTAGGAGTTGGAGCCCCTAGGAAAGCAGCATTGGTAGTGGCAGTGAAGCTAAGCTAAAGCTAAGCTAAAACTAAGGTAAAGCTAAGCTAAAGCTAAGGTAAAGCTGAGCTAAAGCTAAGCTAAAGCTAAGCTAAAGCTAAGCTAAAGCTAAGCTAAAGCTAAGCTAAAGCTAAGCTAAAGCTAAGCTAAAGCTAAAGCTAAGCTAAAGCTCCCAGGGGACGGGGGGAACCGCGGGGCGGATGCCGGGGGAACCGCCTGGGGCGATATCCACTGCCCGGCCCCTTTAAGCAACGAGGGTAAGAACCCTTTTCTAGGCAGAGCCTAGGTAGGGAAAAGCATAGGATTTTGAATACATGATTAATGCATGAATAAATGAATGCATGAACTCATCGTTGTTTTTAGTATGAAATCCCTGCATGTTTAATACATGATCTGCACGCGGAACATGTATTAAGAAACGGCACTGTGGACCTACGCGGCAAAGGGTCTTGCCGGAACGAAGTCCAGTAGGCACGCCTTTCCCATGGACGGTCGGCCTCGCGAGGCGCCTTGCGGGTGCCCGGGGCCAAAAGAGGGTCGAGCACTTCGACTTGGCACCTGCTGGCAGGCCGGAGTCTCGCCTGATGCGTCTACTGTATGCCTACGTGCAGTCTTGCTGGGCGGCGATCATGAAAAGAAGCTCGGGGGGCGATTCCAGCACACATTTGCTGCATGTGAGCAAAATGTCGAATCTCAGCGGAAACGACGACGCACACGAGCAAGCCTGGCACCCAACATATAAATGCACGAATCCTGGCAGCCCCCCCCAAGCATCTCTTAACCGTCATCCCACCAGGTCGGCTCCACGTCGAGGCCGCGGCTACCAGGTCGAACGCCACTGGTGGCCTGGAATCGGCTGACATCCAACGAACTTCGCTATCATACGACAGACGACAGCGGTCGTTCGGGGAGAGACGATCCACTCGGTGCCAGAAGCCCATGCCGACGCCGCCACGACACGAGCTGGCAGTAGTTGTTTGGCTCTCGAGATGGGCTCCACGAAGCAGCTGGCGCACCTCACGCCACGGTGCTCGGCCACCCCAATGGCCAGGCCGCCGTCCCAGGAGAAGACGTCGGGAACCGCCTGCGGCAGCAGCTCCAGCAGCTCCAGGCCCGCGCCCCGCACGAGGGCCGCCACCGGCTCCCTCGACGGAGCGTTCGCCAGCGCCTCGACAGGAGGAGACGGAGGAGAAGGAGACGGAGGAGGAGGAGGAGGAGGAGGAGGAGGAGGAGGAGGAGGAGGAGGAGGAGGAGGAGGAGGAGGAGGGCGGAGGGAGGGAGGAGGGAGGGAGGGAGGGAGGGAGGGACGGAGGGATGAGGGAAGAGAGAGAGAGGAGATAGGGGAGGGAGGAGGCAGGAGGAGGAGGAGGAGGAGGAGGAGGAGGAAGAGGAGGACGAGGAGGAGGAGGGAGGAGGAAGGGCTCCTTCTCGTCCCTCCCATCCTCTTGCTCCTTCCCCCTACTCCCCCTCGACTCTGCTTCGCCCTCTCCTGATCCATCGGGGGGGGCGGGCGGGGGTCCTGACCTGGAGCGGCACTGGAACTTACCAATCCCCGTCCTCCTCTCGGAGACGCCCCTACGGTTCACCTCGGTTCGCCCGCCGCTTGACGAGGTGCAGCGGACTGGCACCGACCCCGAAAGCACCCTCCTCCTCCCTCCAACACGGTACCGAGACCGCTGCTCCCCGGACCTCTCCTGGGGTGCGTTCTGACCTGGATTTCGAGCCAACCGTGGTGACGAGGAACGGGTTAAGGTATCAACAGATGCTCCTCCTCCTCCTCCTCCTCCTCCTCCTCCTCCTCCTCCTCCTCCTCTCCTCCTCCTCCTCCTCCTCCCTCTCTCTCTCTCCTCCTCCCTCCCTCCCTCCCTCCCTCCCCCCTCCCTCCCTCCCTCCCTCCCTCCGCCTCCTCCTCCTCCTCCTCCTCCTCCTCCTCCTCCTCTTCTTCATGGGCCCCGTGGCCGCTCCCGGTCCCTCTTCCCGGGGAGAGAGGAGCACTGGCGCCTTGAGGAGGGCGGCGGAGCAGTCCCCGAGCTTGCTGTCGTCCGGCCCGAAGATGAAGCCCTCGAGCGACGGTGGAGGCGATGGCGGGAGAGGCGGGAAGAGGAGGATGGAGAAGGTAACAGGGCATATGTCGACCCCTATCCCAGACATCGTGGGGTTTTCGCATGAAGCAGAAATTTGAGCCCCAACCCTGGGATATACGATTGGGGGGCGTTCATCCTCGATAGTGGTGCGTCCGAATAGCCTCCTTGGGGTGTATCCAAGGGTTTCCCTCTTTTTCTGAGAGGTCATACTTTTCCGGCGAAGCTCGGGGATTGGGGGAGAAAAGTCACCTGCGAGAAGGGGGCGCGGAGGAGGGGTATGAGGAGGGGTATTGCCCGTCCTTCCACTGTCCTCCCGAGGTGGTGGGCGACGGCGCCGGAAGCGTCAAGCCGGCGCTCCCTCTACCGCCGCCCACCACCTCGGGAGGACAGTGGAAGGACGGGAAATACGAGGAGACGGAGGAGCAGCATGACCCCGCCGATACCCCGCAAAACCTTAGAACGGTCACAATCCGTCTCCCCCCTCTTGCCTCCCCCCCTTGCAGAGATTCATGTCACCCGGGTAGGGCGGCTATACATACAACTGAAGCTGATGTTCAGACTAGGTACCACATCCTTGTGGCAACCAGGCTGTCCGACGGCGCTGTGGCTTCTGTCGGGCCCATGGTAAGAGTAGTAGAGGGCAGGACAAACAAACATCCTGATGAGAACCACCCCGACGAGCAAAGCCGTGTCGCAAACGCACCCAAGGAAGGCATGGAACAGGACGGGTCTGCTTCGTAAACGCGTGCAGCGTACACTAAGGTGGGGGTCGGGATGGTTCTTGACACTGGCCTGTCTGATCCGATCCGATCCTCCACCGTCCTGCTTCCTCCCCCTCGCCTCGGCGGTGGACAGACCTCCCTTTAGTAAACCTCCCCTTAGTGAAGACGGCCTGGGACCGAAACCGACGGACCTGGACCCGCAAACATAACGGCCGTGACGCCCTCTCGCGAACCGAAAACGGCCAGTTCACTAATCGACGTGTTAGGGTAGAAGGTCTATCCACATCCGATCGCCCTCCCCCTCCTCCTCCCCCTCCTCCTCCTCCTCCTCCTCCTCCTCCTCCTCGTCCTACTCTGGCCGGACCTCCCGGTGCCTGCGCTTGCGCCCACCCCGAGCCTCGAGCAGTGGCCTCACGGGCTCCAGCTCCGGGATGGTGTCGGCGCCCGCCAGCGCCTTCTTGAGCAGGGGGAGCACCATCTCGCGGTGCTGGGAGGAGGAGGAGGAGGAGGAGGAGGAGGAGGAGGAGGAGGAGGAGGAGGAGGAAGAGGAGGAGGAGGAGGAGGAGGAGGCGATGTGTAGAGGGGGGAGGAGGGTTCTCGTTTCACGAGGGAGCCCGCACCGCCGCGATTTGGTGTTTCTGAAGCACTCGTTTGCAATCGGCCCGTCGAGTATACTTGATAATGGGTGGGCTTCAGCCCCAATGCTGGACTGCGGATTGGGAATGCTGAGCCGTAGTTGGCGTTCCGCGCAATCTTCCAAACACCAGGTCTAATATTTGGTGCTGTCCTGCATGGACGTTGGGTCTGGTGTTGGACTTCTGGGGGAGGGAATTTCGAAATGAGGAGGGGAGAGGAAGGAAGGAAGAGGAGGGGAGGCAGGGAGGAGGAGAAGGGAAGGAGGAGGAGAGGGGACGAGTCCTGGCCCCCGATGCGGTTAATCTTCTCCTGCTTCCGATGCGCCCTCTGCGCCAGGATCGGGAGGAACTGCAGCACCAGGCTCGAGATCATCCTCGAGGACAGGCGACCGGCGTGGTGGAGCCCGGCCAGGCAGAGCAGGAGCTTCTGGGGCCCTACGCTGCGGCAGCTCTGGCTCGCGATTCCTGGCACGAAGCCGTCGGCGAACCCACCTCGAGAAGAGGGGGAGGATGGACGGGTTCGAGGGTTTCGGAAGTTTTCGTCGGCTGTCGGCGGCCTTCCTGCCTGGGGGTGCTCTTCGACAACTGCGCCTGGCCGACAGGCATCCCGGGGGGAGGGGGCAACGGAAACCATCAGCCATCACGCTACCAGAAATAAGGCGCAAAGGAAGGGAGGAGGAGGAGGAGGAGGAGGAGGAGGAGGAGGAGG